CGAATTTGGTAGCATTTAATTTTTGAAATTATAAGATTTTATTTCAGGTGTTAAAAAAAAATCCCTTTCTCAAGTTTAGGAATAAGCATACAGAACTTTCCAGAAAAACAAAAACAAAAAAGAAAACTTTCAAGTCCTCAGGACCGTTAAACTTACCCAGATGTATTTTAAGAGACTAACAGTGTCCCTGCCTTTATGTCTTACTGATGCAACTTGAGTTGAGAAGCTGAAGCAGGAGGAACTCAAATCCAAGGTCAGCCTGGGCTACGTACACATCAAGACCCCAAACAAGACAGCAGGTCTTCCGCAGCGAGCGGAACCAGCCTTGCTCTGTGATGTCCCGGAGCCCCAGGCCTCCATTTCCTCAGCTGTAAAATATGACCACATGGCATTGACTGCTGGGACAGCTGTTGGGACATTTAAGGATTGGCACAGGAAAAGGTACTCTAGAATTGTGTGCTGTCCAGAACCTTGGGGGATGTTCTGAAGGTCTAAAGGGCCTTTACTCCTATAGTTGAAGCCACCGCCTTCTCCTGGCTCAGAAGTTCATTTGTTTTTGAGGTCGTAGAGAAATACAAGCAAGTATGTGGCATCACTGTGTTGCTGCTGCACTAGCTGTTGGAAACCTGCTGTATTGAGGTCACAGGCCCTACAAGTAAAACTATGTGTTTGCTGGTAAGACAATAGCTTGCATGTGGAGTCTCAGAGAAGTGATAAGTCTCTAACTTAAGCAATGAAAGGATTCAGTAAGGGGGTAGCATGTTAGCTTATAGAAATCAACTTATTTTAATGTATGTAACAACCATAAAATGATAGTATGATGTGCATTTACGGTAACAAAGAGCGTGGGTAGAACCGGTGAAGCAATGCATTTGAACAACATAACCCTCCTTGCTCACAGGGCAACTTGGCTTCACAGACATTCCAGTTCTCAAATTAATTTACAAGGTGTATTTAATACCAAACAAACAAACAAACAAACAAAACCTCTCAATGTCTGAAAAGGCACCGGGAAATAATGCTCAAAAAGAGCAATGAGGAGGACTGCGCTTGTTAGACGTTAAGACGTGCTTGATAACTAAAACAGGGTGATGTCGTCAGCCCTGGGATGGAGGTGGTGGACGCTCACAGTGTGACGTCGGGGTGGACGCTCACAGTGTGGCATCAGCCCTGGGATGGAGGTGGTGGACGCTCACAGCGTGGCGTCAGCACTGGGATGGAGATGCTCACAGTGTGGCGTCAGCCCTGGGATGGAGATGCTCACAGTGTGGCGTCAGCCCTGGGATGGAGATGCTCACAGTGTGACGTCAGCCCTGGGATGGAGGTGGTGCTCACAGTGTGGCGTCAGCTCTGGGATGGAGGTGGTGCTCACAGTGTGGCGTCAGCCCTGGGATGGAGATGCTCACAGTGTGGCGTCAGCCCTGGGATGGAGATGCTCACAGTGTGGCGTCAGCCCTGGGATGGAGGTGCTCACAGTGTGGCGTCAGCACTGGGATGGAGGTGCTCACAGTGTGGCATCAGCACTGGGATGGAGGTGCTCACAGTGTGGCGTCAGCCCTGGGATGGAGGTGGTGGACGCTCACAGTGTGACGTCGGGGTGGACGTTCACAGTGTGGCGTCAGCACAGGGATGGAGATGCTCACAGCGTGACGTCAGCCCTGGGATGGAAGGAAGTGAATTACAGTTGAGTTAACCCTGACCAGACAGGCTGAGTGGTGACACTGGTGAGGGATAAAGGACAAAGAAAAGGAACTTGTAGGCACACTTTTTTCTTCTGTACCTCAGGCTGGAGAGGAATAGAACGAGTGAACACTGAAGTCTCTCTCCTGTGTTTGTCTTAGCAGGATAGTCAGCCATTTTGCCTGTCTGCCTGCTTGTCGGTCTGTCTGTTGAGAGGGTTTTTCTGTGCAACGTTGGATTTCCCAGAGCTCGCTCTGCAGACCAGACTCGTCTTGAACTCAGAGATCTTCCTGCCTCTGCCTCCCAAGCACTGGGATTAAAGGTGTGCGCCGCCATGTCCAGGCCATCTTTACTTTTAAAGTAGACCTTTTTGTCTTAATCTTAGAAATAGTTTTTGAATAACTGCAAACAATTTACCTAATGTAAAATAGCACTTTTCCACAATTGAATTCCGAAATAATTGTAAAATTAAAAGCTAACTAATCACCTCGAGGGAAAGATTTAAGAGGGGATGACAAAAACCTTCCTGTTGTTGTCATAGTCTCTGTCTCCTTTCCTCGGAACTTTCAATGAGTTGTGTAAATGTGTGTGTTAGTGTGCAGCTGGCAGCCAGCATGTCTTCTATGGCTCTGTGTGTCAGAGCTGGCCTTTTAGTGACCACCAATGGCTCTATTGCCCTGTTCTGCTCACTGTTCCTCTTTTCCAGTGTTTTGCTTTTCTGACTGGCGAATGTGGCTGTTTCAGAGCTCCATGGAGAATGGGCTGGATCCCAGTTTAAATTTTTCCTCACTGGCTGTTTTCACTAGTTCCTCCTGGCCTATCCTCTGAATTTGTATGACTATCAAAACTTTATCTTCTTGGCCATGTGAAAGCCAGGATAGTCTTGGAGGGCACCCCTGGGTACCATGACACCCTCTGTAACCCGAGCACTCAGTATAGGGATTTACGGAACTCAAGAAGTTTTGGACTCTGCACAAACAGGGCTTTTTTTTGGTGTCCCTTTTGTACAACAGTGAGTCCATACAGTCCAAATCTTTTAGTCATAGCTTTGCCAGTCACAAAATAAAATACAGCAGCCGGTAGGTAAAGATTATGCAATCCCTACGCCACCCCAGTTTTTCCCTCTTCAAGGGCATCAAGGAAGAATGCAATGCATCCGTAGTTGCTTTTTCTCTAAGCAGACTGCAGCAACTTCATTTTCAGGAATGAGGCATTGACAAAGTTCATAAATGCTTCCTTGTCGACCATGAGTGGTGCAGCTTGGCCCCCAGAGTTATCTCAGATAGCACAAGTAAATCTGGCGGCCTCCAGTCGTCTCAGATAGTCATTAGCTCCTATTCTGTTGTCTCCCCCACAGAATTTCCCCTTGGCCTCAGCAGCTCAGACTCGCTCTGCTCATTAATAGGCCCTGTTAAGTGCTGCCAAACCTCTAGCAGTTTAGTGCGTATGTTCCCTTAATCGCTTTTCTTTGTTCTGGAGTCTGTGTTTGGTTTCTGAGTCGCTAGTGCTCCTGCAGCCCTATCTCTACCCCCCTTTCCATCGCTGGCTGTATGTAGCATGTGAAAGCCTCCTATCCACATGCTTAAAGGACATTCTAGATTGCTCACCATCCATGGAGCTTCTGTGGTCTGCTCACAGAGTCCTTAAATCATGTCCTCCTTGTCCCTCATTCACCCCAGGAGTCTGGGCATCAGGCGTAGGACCTTCTAGAAAGCAGGAATTCCTGAAAATCAGTGTTAACTCTGCCACAGGACAAAGAGCCCTTCTTGGAATTTTTGTTTGTCCAGCACAAGCAAAGGACATTTTATTCTTGATGAGGTGGAGAGGTGTGTCAGGAAAAGACTGTGGGGTGGGTTCATGTGCATTGGCACAGGTTGGGTTTCCTCTGTGAGGAAGACCCCGCCGTCACACCAGCCAGACCCTCCCAACATAGCCTGCTGTCCCCTTTACACGCAAAGAATCCTTAGCTCCTCCCCTCTAAGCAGCACTGCCCACCTTGGAGATGCAGGACGTTGGGTGTGTGTGTGTTAGTTTTTAAGCAGTTTTCCTCTCCTAGGGGTTCCTTTAGCCTGCAGGAGAGGGTGGGGAACTTCTCGGGGCATAGGCTTGCTTTCCGGCAGGGGGTCTCAACCTTCCTCATGCTGCGACCTTTTAATACAGTTTCCTCATGTTGTGGTAACTCCAACCGTAAGATTATTTTTGTTGCTGTTTCATAACCATAATTTTGTTGTTATGAATCATAATGTAAATATCTGTTTTCCAGTGTTCTTAGGCGACCCCTGTGAATGATGCTTTCACAGTGAAAGGGTCATTCACAGGTTGAGAACCTCTACTTTAAAGGGCTCTGTCTTCTTGCAAGAGTGTTGAAGAACACTTCAGACTGACTTGTCATTTCTTGTTAATACAAAATATGCCCTCTGCCCTGCTCAGCCTCTCTGTTCCCACAGATGATAGATAGGTAGACGATAGATAAATAGATAGATAATAGATAGATAGGAGATAGATAGATAGATAGATAGATAGATAGATAGATAGATAGATAGATTGAAGGAGACTGTTCCACTACACTGACAGAGGAGAAGGCTTGGCTTTGGCTGTTAATACCTGCTACTCTGTACTGTATCTGCTCAGTTCAGGAAGGAAGAAGTGTCCTAATATGGAAATAAAATACAGAGAACATAACCTGGAGGAAATGGAGTAAAGGGAGTGGTTGTATGTAGGAGCATTTTCCTTTTTCTTTCTTCTGAGCCTAATATGGCCAGCCAGGTAGAGGTCTACGTAGGTACACTGTCCCCAAAGAGAAGTTGGTATTCTTTTTGGTGAAACTATTTTAAAAGCAGAACTGAAGCCCAAATGGATCCAGGGTTCTTGGGAATTCTCAAAAGGTGTCGATTTATTTACTACAGTTAAAGCATAATTAGTTCTCAGGGGATGGGGTATCTCTTAAACGCTTTACTGCCGCATACTGGTTTTCTGATTAATCAGAAGCGTGTGTGAGTTCCAACTGAAACTCACTGTAAGTAGAAACAAATGTCAGGACTTGCTGTTGTCACTTGAAGGCAGATATGATGTAAGGGAAACAGCTTGCATCCTGGAGCAATCAAACTGGGTACCAGCCAGGCAGGTTACCCTGCCCCTCTCCACTCTCTTGCCCTTCGGTGCTGTTTTCTTCACCCTCGTACTGGCTCCCACCAGAGGCTCGCCGATCGCCGGGCCCTTCCTGGACACCATGTGTACACACACTCTTCCTCCTCTATCCGAGCTGCTGACCCTGCTCTGCATGTCCGTTCTAACTGACCAGTTTTTCCCACCGTTTGCAGGTTGATGTTTGAGATGCCACAGGAAATGGGCTTAATCGCCATTGCTGTTCGACAGACCCAGGGCAAAGGTCAGTCATCGAAAATCTGTGAGTTTCCTGGCTGTAGAGCTCGTGTGTGATGAACCCTGAGATGTCTTGAGTTAGAGTCTTTCCATTTTAATAGCCCCCACCCCCACCCCCTGAAATGGGGCAGGAGAAAGGAGACGGAGAAGGAAAGATTGGGCCTTAGTAGAAAGCAAGCGTCCTGCCAGTCAGGCAATGTTTGCATCTGGTGGCTGTCACACCTGGTAACCTGTGTGCCCCAGACTCCTGCAGATCGTGATGGAAACAGTCCCCAGACATTTAATCCCCTCAGTAAGGGTCTGTTGGAGTCTGTAAAAGCATCCTACCTTTCTTCTGTTGAGTTAAGCCCATCCTATCAAGGTGTGTAACTGAGCACAGATAGACTCAAGGGGGATGGGTGTCAGGCTTTGAGACTTTGTTGTCTGGGAGTGTCCATATGGGCACGCGGTTTCCTCCAACGGGTCTGTCTTCCAGGAAGGGGCCCGAATGCCTGGCTGAGCCCTGTGGGGTGTGCCCTTTTCACTCTGCTGGTCTGCATTCCCCTGAGGTCACAGCTGGGACAGAGGATTCCGTTCGTGCAGCATCTGATGTCCCTGGCCGTCGTGGAGGCGGTGCGGTCCATCCCGGAGTACGAGGTATGTGTGGCTTCCTCGCCCTTCCCCTTCCTGTGCACCGTCCTCCAGCCTGGCCTTTCCCATTTGCGGCATGCATTTGCATGTTTGACAGTGTCCTTCACAAAGCTTGTGTCACCAGAGGGCACGGGGTACCATTTAGAGTGCATAGTTCCGCTGGGGCCGTAGCCCAGGGGTAGAGTGCTTGGCTGACATGCTTGGCCTTACAGTGTTGCTGTGGGCCATTGCTTCCACACAGAAGACAGCATTCCACAGAAGTCCTCCCCTCCTCTGGCTCTTAGAGTCTTTCTGCCCCGTCTTACTTAATGCTCTCTGAGCCTAGAGAAAGTAGGGAATTTCTCACAGATGTCTGTTTAGGGCTAAACACCTGTGGTCAACTCATTCTCAGTATTTTGGCCAGTTGTGAGTTTCTCTATTGTAGTAACCACTGCCTTCTACAGAACGAAATGTCTCTGGCCAAGGTTGAGAACAGCACAAATCTATGGGTACAAATATGAATAGTTAGGTGGCATCTGACACCATGACCATTTACTGAAACTCCAATGATGGGTTACCTACTGGCGCTTGAGAGCTCCCCAGCCATGGGTTTTTGGTCGGGTTCACAGTATCGGCCATGAACTCCCTCTGAAGGAGCAGGTCTCCAGTCTAGGTTTAAAGGGGTTGGTCACCCCCGTGAAGGTCATGGCATTGTTGCACTGGTGAGCACATCTTGTCTGGCAGGTAGGAATTATGAAATTTGGGGTACAGCCCCGAATATGACCACTGGTGCTGTTTCTCTTCCATCAGCCTACACAATATCTGGCACTAAGAAATCTACCCAGCAGGAGAAAGTTCCCCCTTAGATCAAGACTGACCTCTCTCTGTGCTGCAGCAGCAGTGTGTGAGGTCTTCAGGGTAGGGCCTTACTGTGTAGTCACTGTGGTAACCAAGGGTAAGTGGCAATGACCTCTCTTGTCTGGGGAGCCTCGGGAGCCTCCCCGACGAGTAACTCATAGTGGGGAGGGGTGACCATGTATCTTTCTTATCGTCCCTTCATTTGGGTTAGTTCTCCCC